CGATTTGCAGGGCTCTTGCATCGCACCGCAATGTGGCCGAACTCCAAGCACTTGAAGCACCTAGGTCTAGCCTCGCTCTCCTTGACTCTGCAGACTGTCCATCCCACCTTCAGCTTTCCCTTGGCCAGGACCGCTTGCGCCTCCCTACACGGCAGGCCTATTGTTGCCGTTTGGGTATCCCTGAAGGAGGGTCGAAGGCTTCTCAGCTTTATTGAGCTTGGGTCAATATTAAACTGATCCGCCAACGCCTTTGAAAGGTCCTCTGCAGCGACTAGTGGGTCCTGCATCCTCGAGTCCTTTGACAGCGCTCGCACAGTCGCAATTCCGTCCAACACTGCTTCTAGATCGCTCTTCATCGGCGTTGCTTTTCTGTCGCCATCCCTGTTCAGCTCGAGTAATAAGCTGCCGCTCGCTGTGCAGCGGACCTTGTGGACACTCTTTTCAACCTCCTGCAGTTGACCGTCACTTCGCCTCGTAACCAAAGCCAAGACCTCGCTGTAGGTCTTGCCTTTTGCTTCCACAATCACCGCGTCGGGTCTCCGCGTCAAGCGTGCTTTCTTCCTCGCCTCCACCTTCGTCCATGCGTCTAGCTTGCCACGACTCTGAGTTTCAGCTTGCTGTGCCGTTGCTTTCTCCGCTATCTTCGCCTGCCGCTTTGGAGGGCTGGCTCTCTTCTCCCTCGGCTTCACCCTCTGTGGTACTTGGGCTGCCCCTGGGCTTCTTGAGTGCTGCTTCGGAATCTTCGACGGGTAGGGAACGTCCGTTTGTGCGAAGCTGTCTCTTTTTGGGCTGGGGTTTGTTTGTTGTAGTTTATCCACGGCTTTCGCTGTACTACCCCCGCACTTGGGGCATCCCGGCAAGGCATTCGTAGGTGCGTTGCCTGGTTCGTACTCCATTTCCAGCTCCCTGCTGGCGTCCTCCTGAAGGGCCTTCATTTTGGCGAACATCGCTTTCATTTGGACGTTGATGTGTCGCACCTGCTTGACATTGGTCAGGATCATAAGCTGGTCCAAGACCAGTCCAATTTCCGTCAGCTTACCGGCACACAGGAGCTGTCTATCGGCCTTCGTCCTTTTTGGGGGTGTTTTTCGACTCGATCCGGAGGGGCTGTTTGGGGTCCGAGCCCGCTTTGGCGTGTCCTGCATATCTACTCCCTCGGCAAGGTTGGACCCGCCAGCCTGTAGTGGCGCAGGTGCCCTTGGCAGGATCGGCGAACGCAAGATTTTCCTACTACTTAGGAAAGCCCCCGCGTTGTCCATACCCTTCTCTATTTGGCTTGTTGCTTTCACTGTCGAGGCGGCCAACCCGCCACAGCCAGGTTTAGATTACTGCTGGCCATTGTGGCACAGACGCAGACCACGCAGCTACCCATTGGGGTCAGACGCTCCGTGGATTGTGGAAAAGGTGGAAAAGGGTTCTTCACCGGTGGGAGTTATACCGCTCCAGCTCGGTCGCCAACGCCCCTTATTTAGTTGTACCGCGTGAGCGGTGGGGTTGGCTATTGGTCTGCTCCTTGACCTTTAACACCTATAAATACTAGCCCGAGCCAGTGATTCCATGAGTTGCCGTCAAGGATTCTCATCAGCAGCCCAGGAAGGTATGCTACAAGCGGCGACAAGATCGTTTGTCGAGTTGCATAGCAAGTTGCTGTTGACAGTTAGCGATACCCGAAAACCACAGCGCCACCTGTGGTTGGAGACGCTTGCGGCTGTCGTTTTCCAACACTGGGTAAACAGCTCACTTAGATCAGCTGGCGGGACATTGCATCTCGCGTTGCACAAAAAAAAGAAAGGGGACGAAAGAGAAAACTGAAGAGAAAGCTCCGAATAATTCTCTCACCCTGACCTATCCCATGGCCCTGGAGGTCTCAGCCGGCGGACGGTCCATGGAACTCCGGAGATCATGTCCTCACCGGGTAAGTGCACTGGACAGCGTCGCTGATATAGGCCGCAGCCCCTGGCGCGTCCCCGCTGACTCAGCGCGGAAAATTTTGGAGTTTTTCCGGGAGCGCCAACATGATGCAGCCGTCTTCGAACACTTCACGCCACTCCTCTATATATGCGTGGGTGTGTGTCAGGTTTGAGTTGGTAGCCATGTTTGTGTGTACTTGTGTGTGAGAATGAGGGGAAATATCGTGAGCGCCGATCTTGGTGGAAGTGCTGAGATTTTTCTCCATGCTGTTGTCTCTGTGTGGCAGTGTGAGGAATATCCCCAAAGCGTTGAACCTTAAGCCGCCTTTACCATCTGCATCCGTATTAGTTGCTGCGGCTGTATTAGTGAGTAAGGCGATTGCGGATAGGTTCTATCTTCGGGCTACGTTCGTGACAGTGGGAACAGTAGCATTGGTATGGGTTACTGTGGTGAGTAAGTTCCCTAAGTTTGTGTGCGGAGGGGAAGGCAATTTCCCCATAGAGACGCCACCTTTGGCGCCAATGGTGTCCCCATTGGTGTTGGTGAGCGAGAGGGCGTTTGCTTGGGCATTTTGGGTGTTCTCACTCTCTTTCCCTTTGCGAAAGGGAATGGACAATTTTTATGGCGGTCTCGGGAGGGTTTTTTATGCTTTTAATTTCTGACCACGAAAGCAATTTCTTCAGACTTAAAATACTGACGCTTATTTGGGAGCTATCTGAACCTTGTGACGTGGGCGAGATATCAAGATAGAATGGGGTCGTGCGCCGTTCTGGGATTGATTGAATTGAGAGAATCTCGTCGTCGGACGAATCATCAGAAAATAAGATGTCTGGTATGGTGTTTACTGATTTTTAATATTTAAAATCGATACGTGTAGGTATAAATACCCTGGCTTTTAGTTTGTAGCGGATCCTCGAGTTTGTGTCGTCTCCGTTTTGTGTCGCCTCCTTGTCTCCTATAAAACTTCGCTGGTAGCGGTTTTCTTCTCTCTTTAGTTTTATAGCACTTCTTCTCCTCTTAGTTATGATGCAGCTTTCTTGGTTTGTGTAGATGTTGCCGAATTATCACGGTTTAATTCTTTTTGCTATTAAGTGTCTATTTTAGTTGTTTAATTGTTTTTAAACTTTGTATTTTAGTTAACTTTGTGATTTAACTTTGTCTGTTTTTCGCTTTTAAATTTTATTTATATTTAATTATTTATTTATATTTAATTATTTATTTATATTTATTTATTTATTTAACTTTGCTATTTAACTTTTTTAATTTATCTTTGTTTTATTAACTTTGCATGTTAATTTTTAACTTTGTATGGTGGAGGTTATTTTTTTTTTTTTTTTAACTTTGCTTGGTGGAGGTACGGAGCAGAATGATTTCTGGACCGTATCCACAATTTATTTGCCTCTGATTACAAGGGTATGTACATGTATAGGTACAAGAATTTACATATATGATACTAAAATTGTGGAGGTGAGTTTTGGAGTTGGACAATAATGTTAGTAAATAGGGGAGTATGCTAGGTCTTCTGTGTGTACATTGGCATGAACTGGTAACATTATATTGCTTATTTGTCTGGCATGGTGTTTACTGATTTTTAATATTTAAAATCGCTACGTGTAGGTATAAATACCCTGGCTTTTAGTTTGTAGCGGATCCTCGAGTTTGTGTCGTCTCCGTTTTGAGTCGCCTCCTTGTCTCCTATAAAACTTCGCTGGTAGCGGTTTTCTTCTCTCTTTAGTTTTATAGCACTTCCTCTCCTCTTAGTTATGATGCAGCTTTCTTGGTTTGTGTAGATGTTGCCGAATTATCACGGTTTAATTCTTTTTGCTATTGAGTGTCTATTTTAGTTGTTTAATTGTTTTTAAACTTTGTATTTTAGTTAACTTTGTGATTTAACTTTGTCTGTTTTTCGCTTTTAAATTTTATTTATATTTAATTATTTATTTATATTTATTTATTTATTTAACTTTGCTATTTAACTTTGTTTAATTTATTTTAACTTTGATGGTGGATTTTAACTTTACTTTGCATTGTTTAACTTTTAATTTACTTTGCATGGTGGAGGTACGGAGCAGAATGATTTCTGGACCGTATCCACAATTTATTTGCCTCTGATTACAAGGGTATGTACATGTATAGGTACAAGAATTTACATATATGATATTAAAATTGTGGAGGTGAGTTTTGGAGTTGGACAATAATGTTAGTAAATAGGTGAGTATGCTAGGTTAGTATTTGTCTTCTGTGTGTACATTGGCATGAACTGGTAACAGTGAGTTACCCACAGTGAGTCCCTGAGCGCTGTCTGGGCCGCTGCATTACGTGGCCACCGCGCCGGGAGCGGTAGCTAGGAGCCGCCTAGTTGACGTGGGCCGCCGCATCGACAGGATATGAAGTGCAGGCAAACAAATTGAGTGAGTATTATTTATTATTATTTGCGGGTATTTTGATTGTCGTTTTAAATTTCTTTCTTTTTAGCAAGTGGTGGCTGTGCATAGGAATTGAATGTAGTCGTCACACCGCCCAAGGCCAAGGCCATGGAAAGGATGAGCTTGGAATTAGATAAGTGGCTGTTATGTATCTAATTTGTTTGTTGACTGATTTGAGTTCTTTTTTCTAGTTTTTCAGTCATTATCCTGTGGCAGGGAACTCGACCTGGATGAGTCCCTTGCAGCATGCTGTCGCCAGGATGCCGCGATCTAATCGAGCAGGGCCCGGCGAGCAGAGTCGTGCAGTGGAAGCTCAGATTCCTGTGTGAGTAGAAAAAATTTCTGCAGTTGCGTGGCTGTAGTTCATGTTGTTTGCCGCTGGCAAGACACAGCTGCAGGGTTGGTTTAGGGCCCTTCAGAGTGTCTTGCGGCAAGTTTTTATTTAGATTTTAATTTTATGTTTTCTTTTCTTTTCAGGTCCACAGTAAAGAAAGATAAATATACTGTTTTAGCCTTGATGGTTGGAAGTGCATGCAAACAAATTGGGTGAGTATTATTTACAATTATTTGCGGGTGTCTTGATTATCGTTTTAAGTTCCTTTCTTTTTAGCAAGTTATTTAATATATGATTTAATTGTGCCATGTTTGTTTTGTTGCTTGATGTATTAATTTTTATTTTTCAGGCTTCATCGTATGTTATGGAATTGGTCCTGGAATCCCATTCAGTCCGCTGTCGTCAGGGAGCCGCGATCTTAGCATGCAGAAACGGACGAGGATAGTCTTGCCGGAAAGATGCAGGAAAGTGCAATTTGGGTGGCTGATATATATGGTGAGTATTTCGGTCAACTTTACAGGTCACAGAGCTCATTTTATTTTTGCAGGACAAAAGTTAAAGTTAAAAGTTAAAAAGTTAAAAGTTAAAAGTTGTTTAATGCAGGCGGGAATGTGGCATTTAGAAGGATATGGTCGGAGCATCTTTCAGCAGCCGCGATCGTCTGGATAGTTTACTTTATTTACTGTATTCCCCTCATTTGTATTATAGATTTAAATTGTTTGAGAATTTTTTATTAAATAATTGTTAATTTCCAATGCATTTGTTGGCTTATTTAGGATGAGTTAGTAGAGAATTGTATTCATTGTGTCTTAGGAGATATCTTTCTGCTGCCGCATGGCAAACAACCACGGGCAGGGGTGTAAGTTGGTGTCCAGAGATGTTATGCATTTTGGGCGTTTTTTTTTGGCGTTCCGTAGACATGTGTATGTGGTCCACGGGAGCCAGAATGAGGAGGTCGCCGCTTTCGAGCAAAATGTGTTAGTTTTCGGGTTCGAAGTCGGGGATTATGATTTTTATGATCGAGGTAGGCTGGCCGAGCATTAATTCGAGGACTCTCTCTCTTGTGACTCTTCCCTCTCTATATAGTTTGTTGAATTTGTTTATTAGGCCCTCGCCCCATCTATCTGGCGGTCCTTTTTCCAGCGCTTTTCTTCTTTCAATTTTTTTCTCTCCTTATCGCGTCGGCTATGTTTTCCTTTGATTCCGTTTCCGCGTCTTCGATGCGGAATAAAGTGGGGAGAGTTTTTCTGTACTCAAGTCTCATTTTTGAGACTATTTCCTGTTCCTCCTTTACAGTGTAGCTGTGGATCGATTTGTAGATAGGTTCGTTAGGGGGGTCAGGCCGGTTTCGTAGGCGGGGCTGTAGATGGGTATTATATTGGTTTACATATCTAGATCTGATTGCTGCTGTCCTTATGGGCTTGAAGGATTTTATCAGCAGGTATTTTATTAATGGGTTTTTATGGGTGGAAATGGAATTGGCGTAGCGTTGACCGGCTTGGTGGAAGACTTCTTCAAGAGATTTGATGTTGTATTTTTCGCTTATTGTCGTTTGTCTAGTCTGTTTGCGTTAGTGATTCTTCTCAAGAACTTGTTTTCAAGGGCTTGTATCTTTTTAGCTTGGGTGGCTGAGACTAGGGACCCCCAGATTGCTATGGAATAGTGCCAAATCGGGGAGATGATCTGTTTCCATAACAGTGTTTTAGTGGCCTTGGGTATGTGGCTGTTGCTCCCTATTAGCCATTCCAGTTTTTTGTATGCAGGTATTATTTTCCCTTAGAGCATAGAACATGGCCTGTTTTTTTGCCATTTATTGCGATGTCCCATTTGTTTGCCCATCTGCAGAATTTGTTTAAGTATGTTTGGTTGATGTTGATGGCGATCTTAGTGTAGTTTGAGCGGCATAGTATAATGGTGTCGTCAGCGTAGGTTGCGAGGAGAATGTTCTTGGGGTGGAAGTCAGGAAAAGATATTTGGGGCATGTAGTCTTTGAGAATAGGATAAGGCAAGTTATTCGTCATTTTCCACAGCTTTTCCATTCTGTATCTATCCGATGTGTCAATTTCTTCTAACTTTTTATTAATATTTATTTCTCTTAGTTTTTTTATCTCCTTCGCCAGTTTGTTTCGGGCCCCCTTGAACCACCTTTTGGCTTCTTCGGTAGGTGCTGCTCTGAGGATCCTGTTCCTTTTTTTTTTTGAGAAGCGCAGAGGTAGCTGCGTCTAGTCTAATATTGTTAGTTCTCCTTTGGGTGTTGTTTTGAGAGCGATTGGTGGGAGTGGCTTCTTTGGCTGCGGACTTGATGTTGTTTAATATTAATGCAATCGTCGATGCCTTGGCCAGTGCGAATTTCCGAATTTAGCAGCAGCTTGTCCTCCAGGGCCCTCTTGAAAGTGGTCAGGTTTGTATTTTTTTGGAGAATGACACTGTTTGCTTTATTGCATTGCAAGTTTGTACCGTCAAGATTAAGGATGATTTGAATCGGGAGGTGGTCAGAAGGTCATCGGTGGAGAAGGTTCTTAAGATTTGTCTTTGTAAGCCCTTACAAATACAAAATCAAGCGCGGAGGGTTGCTTTCTTTTGTCGAAGGGGAAATGTGTGGCTCTAGGTTTTTCCTAGCTTGGATTGCTTGTGACAGGGCCCTACCCCTTGCGCAGGATGAATAGTTGCCCCAGTATCTATGTTTGCTGTTCTGGTCACCTCCGAGAATGAGTTTGGAGGTGCCTTCCAGTAGCGTCTCAAAATGGTAGAAGAGCTTCTGGAAATTTGTCAACGGACCACTTGTGGACTGGCGGGAAGTAGATTGTGGCAACAACAGTCATTTCTGCCCGAATGCGGGATAAGGGCAATGGGTGCGCTTTGGAGGAGCTCTGTTTCTATGGGGCTTAGGCATGTGTGGCGAAAATTTTGGTTGATTATGGTGGTCGTGCCGCCTTTCCTGGAGGAGGTGGGATTCTGGGCCAGGTAAGTGTGGAAGCCTTTGAAGTTTAGGGCGTTTGAGTTACGCTCTAACTTGGTTTCGACTACTAGCATAATATGTAACCTTTCCTGATAAATGACTCAAGTTCATCCTTTTTGCTTGTGACTCCACATGCATTCCAGTACCCTATTTTTAGGGTATTGGAAGTTTGAACATTGTTTGTGCATATTAGTGTATTTTTCTTTTTTGCTTTTGGAGATTGTATACTAGTTTAAGTTTGGGGCAGTTGTTGGGAGTTCAGGAGGTATTGCGGGTAGGTGTGGTCGGTTATGGTTTGTTTATTTTTGACCTCGATGAATTTGGTTAAAAAGTTCATCAGTATGTCTATTTTCATTTCTATGCTTTTTATGCGATTTTTTAAGTTGGTGTTGGAGTCGTCGGCGGGGCTTGCTTGTGCAAATGATTGCGCGTCCATGGGGGTGGGGGTATCTTCTGCAATAACTCTGGGCTTCAGGTAAGCTCTGACAGCTAGGCTGGTTGTAGGTGAACTTTCTTGTTTGGGAAATGTCCGTTTGATCGGCAGGTCCTGGGCTTCTTGCGTTTTCCTTTCGTTCTGGAGACGCTCTTGGAATTTAGCCAAGTGTCTAGCGGCAGCGTTTTTCGCCTTGTTTAGCGGTTGTGGCTTTGAGTTGTCTTTTTTTCCTCCTTTGCCGATGTTTTTTCGCCTCCTCTTTAGACTTTTTTGGATGGCCGCGTCGTGTGTGGAGATCCTGGGCTGGTGGGTCATCGCGTCCTTGTTGTTAGCGCGGAATGGGTTGCGCCATTCTCGCCTTGAGGCATCCTGGCGAGTGTTTGCTGGGGATTGTCTAGTAAAGGGCAGGCGTGGGTAATTTTTTCGAGGTTGGGAGACGTGGCGTTCATTTGCGTTTGTTGCTGCGTCCCTGATTACCATTATTTTGTTAAAGTCAATGTTATTGACTGACAGCTTTCTTTTTTCCGCCTTATAGGCGGGACAACCTTTGTAGGCGCTTATGTGTTCGCCGGAGCAGTTTGCACAGGATGCAGGGCTTGATCTGGGCTTGGCGCATTGGTTGGACAAATGGTGCCCAGCGCATTTCATGCACCTTGGCGGCTTCATACAGGTGTTTCTCGTGTGCCTGAAACCCTGGCAATTGAAGCACTGGACCGGCTCCTTTGTCCTATTTTTTCGCTTCACCTCGATCTTCTGCACGAGTTGTCTCAGCGTGAGAATTTTTTTGCTAGCAGACATGGTAGTTGGAGGTCCACAGACCCTTTTGCTAGGCGTTTTAAAATTTGAGTAGTCAAGATCCCCATTTGTCCTTTTCCCGGGAGTTTTCATCAGTGGTGTTGAGCCGGTGTGTGGCATTTCACCGTGGTTGGTTCCAGCTACAACTTCGGAGAAACTCCTGGGCTGCTCATCAGTGCTCCTGGGGGATGATTTAAATAGGCCCCTCTTAGTCGCCGGTCGGTTGAGGGTGCGGGCTGTTGGCTGATTTCCAGCCGTAGACATGGAGTTGGCTTTGGGCTTTAAGTTTAGGTTTAAATTAAAATTAACCTGGGAAGAGTGGGTAGGGGAAAGCCTCTTTGGAGAGGGGAAACGCTTGTCTTCCCGGAAGTTTCGGCAGGCTGTGTGGGTTTCTTTTTTAGACTAAGTTTAGAAGTATCCGGTTTGGGATTTAAACTCAACAAATAAGCGTTGCGAGTTGTAATTTGTTGTTGATTTTCCCCTTGATTTTTGTCCCTGCTTTTGTCTAATTGCATTTGTGAGGAGGTTTTCTGCCCATGGTCAATAACATTTGCTTTCTTATTGCGTGCGTCTGTGTAGTTAAGAGCGGGACTATTAGAGCGGCTATCTAGGTTTGAGTTGGTAGCCATGCTTGTGTGTACTTGTGTGTGAGAATGAGGGGAAATATCGTGAGCGCCGATCTTGGTTGAAGTGCTGAGATTTTTCTCCATGCTGTTGTCTCTGTGTGGCAGTGTGAGGAATATCCCCAAAGCGTTGTACCTTAAGCCGCCTTTACCATCTGCATCCGTATTAGTTGCTGCGGCTTTATTAGTGAGTAAGGCGATTGCGGATAGGTTCTCTCTTCGGGCTACGTTCGTGACAGTGGGAACAGTAGCATTGGTATGGGTTACTGTGGTGAGTAAGTTCCCTAAGTTGTGTGCGGAGGGGAAGGCAATTTCCCCATAAAGACGCCACCTTTGGCGCCAATGGTGTCCCCATTGGTGTTGGTGAGCGAGAGGGCGTTTGCTTGGGCATTTTGGGTGTTCTCACTCTCTTTCCCTTTGCGAAAGGGAATGGACAATTTTTATGGCGGTCTCGGGAGGGTTTTTTATGCTTTTAATTTCTGACCGCGAAAGCAATTTCTTCAGACTTAAAATACTGACGCTTATTTGGGAGCTATCTGAACCTTGTGACGTGGGCGAGATATCAAGATAGAATGGGGTCGTGCGCCGTTCTGGGATTGATTGAATTGAGAGAATCTCGTCGTCGGACGAATCATCAGAAAATATGGTTTGTGTAGATGTTGCCGAATTATCACGGTTTAATTCTTTTTGCTATTGAGTGTCTATTTTAGTTGTTTAATTGTTTTTAAACTTTGTATTTTAGTTAACTTTGTGATTTAACTTTGTCTGTTTTTCGCTTTTAAATTTTATTTATATTTAATTATTTATTTATATTTAATTATTTATTTATATTTATTTATGTATTTAACTTTGCTATTTAACTTTTTTAATTTAACTTTGTTTTATTAACTTTGCATGTTAATTTTTAACTTTGTATGGTGGAGGTTATTTTTTTTTTTTTTAACTTTGCTTTGTGGAGGTACGGAGCAGAATGATTTCTGGACCGTATCCACAATTTGTTTGCCTCTGATTACAAGGGTATGTACATGTATAGGTACAAGAATTTACATATATGATATAAAAATTGTGGAGGTGAGTTTTGGAGTTGGACAATAATGTTAGTAAATAGGGGAGTATGCTAGGTCTTCTGTGTGTACATTGGCATGAACTGGTAACATTATATTGCTTATTTGTTTACATTGCTAGAGTTACATAGAATTTACGTCTCCCCACAGTGAGTCCCTGAGCGCTGTCTGGGCCGCTGCATTATGTGGCCGCCGCGCCGGGAGCTTGGAGCCGCCAGACCAGGAATTAGTTGACGTGGGCCGCCGCATCGACAGGATATGAAGTGCATGCAAACAAATTGAGTGAATATTATTTATTATTATTTGCGGGTATTTTGATTGTCGTTTTAAATTTCTTTCGTTTTAGCATAGGAATTGAATGTAGTCGTCACACCGCCCAAGGCCATGGAAAGGATGAGCTTGGAATTAGATAAGTGGCTGTTATGTATCTAATTTGTTTGTTGACTGATTTGAGTTCTTTTTTCTAGTTTTTCAGTCATTATCCTGTGGCAGGGAACTCGACCTGGATGAGTCCCTTGCAGCATGCTGTCGCCAGGATGCCGCGATCTAATCGAGCAGGGCCCGGCGAGCAGAGTCGTGCAGTGGAAGCTCAGATTCCTGTGTGAGTAGAAAAAATTTCTGCAGTTGCGTGGCTGTAGTTCATGTTGTTTGCCGCTGGCAAGACACAGCTGCAGGGTTGGTTTAGGGCCCTTCAGAGTGTCTTGCGGCAAGTTTTTATTTAGATTTTAATTTTATGTTTTCTTTTCTTTTCAGGTCCACAGTAAAGAAAGATAAATATACTGTTTTAGCCTTGATGGTTGGAAGTGCATGCAAACAAATTGGGTGAGTATTATTTACACTTATTTGCGGGTGTCTTGATTATCGTTTTAAGTTCCTTTCTTTTTAGCAAGTTATTTAATATATGATTTAATTGTGCCATGTTTGTTTTGTTGCTTGATGTATTAATTTTTATTTTTCAGGCTTCATCGTATGTTATGGAATTGGTCCTGGAATCCCATTCAGTCCGCTGTCGTCAGGGAGCCGCGATCTTAGCATGCAGAAACGGACGAGGATAGTCTTGCCGGAAAGATGCAGGAAAGTGCAATTTGGGTGGCTGATATATATGGTGAGTATTTCGGTCAACTTTACAGGTCACAGAGCTCATTTTATTTTTGCAGGACAAAAGTTAAAGTTAAAAGTTAAAAAGTTAAAAGTTAAAAGTTGTTTAATGCAGGCGGGAATGTGGCATTTAGAAGGATATGGTCGGAGCATCTTTCAGCAGCCGCGATCGTCTGGATAGTTTACTTTATTTACTGTATTCCCCTACTTTGTATTATAGATTTAAATTGTTTGAGAATTTTTTATTAAATAATTGTTAATTTCCAATGCATTTGTTGGCTTATTTAGGATGAGTTAGTAGAGAATTGTATTCATTGTGTCTTAGGAGATATCTTTCTGCTGCCGCATGGCAAACAACCACGGGCAGGGGTGTAAGTTTGTGTCCAGAGATGTTATGCATTTTGGGCGTTTTTTTTGGCGTTCCGTAGACATGTGTAGGTGGTCCACGGGAGCCAGAATGAGGAGGTCGCCGCTTTCGAGCAAAATGTGTTAGTTTTCGGGTTCGAAGTCGAGGTAGGCTGGCCGAGCATTAATTCGAGGACTCTCTCTCTTGTGACTCTTCCCTCTCTATATAGTTTGTTGAATTTGTTTATTAGGCCATCGCCCCATCTATCTGGCGGTCCTTTTTCCAGCGCTGTTCTTCTTTCAATTTTTTTCTCTCCTTATCGCGTCGGCTATGTTTTCCTTTGATTCCGTTTCCTCATCTTCGATGCGGAATAAAGTGGGGAGAGTTTTTCTGTACTCAAGTCTCATTTTTGAGACTATTTCCTGTTCCTCCTTTACAGTGTAGCTGTGGATCGATTTGTAGATAGGTTCGTTAGGGGGTCAGGCCGGTTTCGTAGGCGGGGCTGAAGATGGGTATTATATTGGTTTACATATCTAGATCTGCTTGCTGCTGTCCTTATGGGCTTGAAGGATTTTATCAGCAGGTCTTTTATTAATGGGTTTTTATGGGTGGAAATGGAATTGGCGTAGCGTTGACTGGCTTGGTGGAAGACTTCTTCAAGAGATTTGATGTTGTATTTTTCTCTTATTGTCGTTTGTCTAGTCTGTTTGCGTTAGGGACCCCCAGATTGCTATGGAATAGTGCCAAATCGGGGAGATGACCTGTTTCCATAACAGTGTTTTAGTGGCTTTGGGTAGGTGGCTGTTGCTCCCTATTAGCCATTCCAGTTATTTGTACGCAGGTATTATTTTCCCTTATAGCATAGAACATGGCCTGTTTTTTTGCCATTTATTGCGATGTCCCATTTCTTTGCCCATCTGCAGAATTTGTTTAAGTATGTTTGGTTGATGTTGATAGCGATCTTAGTGTAGTTTGAGCGGCTTAGTATAATGGTGTCGTCAGCGTAGGTTGCGAGGAGAATGTTCTTGGGGTGGAAGTCAGGAAAAGATATTTGGGGCATGTAGTCTTTGAGAATAGGATAAGGCAAGTTATTCGTCATTTTCCACAGCTTTTCCATTCTGTATCTATCCGATCTGTCAATTTCTTCTAACTTTTTATTAATATTTATTTCTCTTAGTTTTTTTATCTCCTTCGCCAGTTTGTTTCGGGCCCCCTTGAACCACCTTTTGGCTTCTTCGGTAGGTGCTGCTCTGAGGATCCTGTTCCTTTTTTTTTTTGAGAAGCGCAGAGGTAGCTGCGTCTAGTCTAATATTGTTAGTTCTCCTTTGGGTGTTGTTTTGAGAGCGATTGGTGGGAGTGGCTTCTTTGGCTGCGGACTTGATGTTGTTTAATATTAATGCAATCGTCGATGTCTTGGCCAGTGCGAATTTCCGAATTTAGCAGCAGCTTGTCCTCCAGGGCCCTCTTGAAAGTGGTCAGGTTTGTATTTTTTTGGAGAATGACACTGTTTGCTTTATTGCATTGCAAGTTTGTACCGTCAAGATTAAGGATGATTTGAATCGGGAGGTGGTCAGAAGGTCATCGGTGGAGAAGGTTCTTAAGATTTGTCTTTGTAAGCCCTTACAAATACAAAATCAAGCGCGGAGGGTTGCTTTCTTTTGTCGAAGGGGAAATGTGTGGCTCTAGGTTTTTCCTAGCTTGGATTGCTTGTGACAGGGCCCTACCCCTTGCGCAGGATGAATAGTTGCCCCAGTATCTATGTTTGCTGTTCTGGTCACCTCCGAGAATGAGTTTGGAGGTGCCTTCCAGTAGCGTCTCAAAATGGTAGAAGAGCTTCTGGAAATTTGTCAACGGACCACTTGTGGACTGGCGGGAAGTAGATTGTGGCAACAACAGTCATTTCTGCCCGAATGCGGGATAAGGGCAATGGGTGCGCTTTGGAGGAGCTCTGTTTCTATGGGGCTTAGGCATGTGTGGCGAAAATTTTGGTTGATTATGGTGGTCGTGCCGCCTTTCCTGGAGGAGGTGGGATTCTGGGCCAGGTAAGTGTGGAAGCCTTTGAAGTTTAGGGCGTTTGAGTTACGCTCTAACTTGGTTTCGACTACTAGCATAATATGTTATTTTCATTTCTATGCTTTTTATGCGATTTTTTAAGTTTGTGTTGGAGTCGTCGGCGGGGCTTGCTTGTGCAAATGATTGCGCGTCCATGGGGGTGGGGGTATCTTCTGCAATAACTCTGGGCTTCAGGTAAGCTCTGAGAGCTAGGCTGGTTGTAGGTGAACTTTCTTGTTTGGGAAATGTCCGTTTGATCGGCAGGTCCTGGGCTTCTTGCGTTTTCCTTTCGTTCTGGAGACGCTCTTGGAATTTAGCCAAGTGTCTAGCGGCAGCGTTTTTCGCCTTGTTTAGCGGTTGTGGCTTTGAGTTGTTTTTTTTTCCTCCTTTGCCGATGTTTTTTCGCCTCCTCTTTAGACTTTTTTGGATGGCCGCGTCGTGTGTGGAGATCCTGGGCTGGTGGGTCATCGCGTCCTTGTTGTTAGCGCGGAATGGGTTGCGCCATTCTCGCCTTGAGGCATCCTGGCGAGTGTTTGCTGGGGATTGTCTAGTAAAGGGCAGGCGTGGGTAATTTTTTCGAGGTTGGGAGACGTGGCGTTCATTTGCGTTTGTTGCTGCGTCCCTGATTACCATTATTTTGTTAAAGTCAATGTTATTGACTGCCAGCTTTCTTTTTTCCGCCTTATAGGCGGGACAACCTTTGTAGGCGCTTATGTGTTCGCCGGAGCAGTTTGCACAGGATGCAGGGCTTGATCTGGGCTTGGCGCATTGGTTGGACAAATGGTGCCCAGCGCATTTCATGCACCTTGGCGGCTTCATACAGGTGTTTCTCGTGTGCCTGAAACCCTGGCAATTGAAGCACTGGACCGGCTCCTTTGTCCTATTTTTTCGCTTCACCTCGATCTTCTGCACGAGTTGTCTCAGCGTGAGAATTTTTTTGCTAGCAGACATGGTAGTTGGAGGTCCACAGACCCTTTTGCTAGGCGTTTTAAAATTTGAGTAGTCAAGATCCCCATTTGTCCTTTTCCCGGGAGTTTTCATCAGTGGTGTTGAGCCGGTGTGTGGCATTTCACCGTGGTTGGTTCCAGCTACAACTTCGGAGAAACTCCTGGGCTGCTCATCAGTGCTCCTGGGGGATGATTTAAATAGGCCCCTCTTAGTCGCCGGTCGGTTGAGGGTGCGGGCTGTTGGCTGATTTCCAGCCGTAGACATGGAGTTGGCTTTGGGCTTTAAGTTTAGGTTTAAATTAAAATTAACCTGGGAAGAGTGGGTAGGGGAAAGCCTCTTTGGAGAGGGGAAACGCTTGTCTTCCCGGAAGTTTCGGCAGGCTGTGTGGGTTTCTTTTTTAGACTAAGTTTAGAAGTATCCGGTTTGGGATTTAAACTCAACAAATAAGCGTTGCGAGTTGTAATTTGTTGTTGATTTTCCCCTTGATTTTTGTCCCTGCTTTTGTCTAATTGCATTTGTGAGGAGGTTTTCTGCCCATGGTCAATAACATTTGCTTTCTTATTGCGTGCGTCTGTGTAGTTAAGAGCGGGACTATTAGAGCGGCTATCTAGGTTTGAGTTGGTAGCCATGCTTGTGTGTACTTGTGTGTGAGAATGAGGGGATATATCGTGAGCGCCGATCTTGGTTGAAGTGCTGAGATTTTTCTCCATGCTGTTGTCTCTGTGTGGCAGTGTGAGGAATATCCCCAAAGCGTTGTACCTTAAGCCGCCTTTACCATCTGCATCCGTATTAGTTGCTGCGGCTTTATTAGTGAGTAAGGCGATTGCGGATAGGTTCTCTCTTCGGGCTACGTTCGTGACAGTGGGAACAGTAGCATTGGTATGGGTTACTGTGGTGAGTAAGTTCCCTAAGTTGTGTGCGGAGGGGAAGGCAATTTCCCC